CGTGAGGGCCCAGTTCGAATACGACCCGTCCAAAGACGAGCTCATCCCCTGCAAGGAGGCCGGCATCCGCTTCCGCGTGGGCGACATCATCCAGATCATCTCCAAGGACGACCACAACTGGTGGCAGGGCAAGCTGGAGAACACCAAGAACGGCACGGCGGGCCTCATCCCGTCGCCCGAGCTGCAGGAGTGGTGAGACGGACAAACTCTCGCCATTCGCACTCTCTGAGAGGTCATCTGTCCATTTAGCAGCTATCAAAGCAGAAAAAAAAACCCTTTAAACGGGCCGGAGTCTGAAACCAGCATGAAAAGACTTTTTTTTTTTCTCCCTCCGAGCGGTTTTCTTCCTGCAGTGGAAACACAACCTGCCGTTACAGATCGTGACTGGTTGTTTTTTGTGTGTCGGGCAGGCGGGTGGCGTGCATCGCCATGGAGAAGACCAAGCAGGAGCAGCAGGCCAGCTGCACCTGGTTCGGCAAGAAGAAGAAGCAGTGCAAAGACAAATATCTGGCAAAGCACAACGCAGGTGCGCCCCCCTTCCCCCAAACACACACACACAATCACACACACGTTGATCTGCCTCGGCCCCCGAGGCCCACCGTGCATGGGCGCAGTGCATGGGGCGGGGCGGGCTGAGTGGGCCAGCATGGGATGGGGGTGGGGGGTGGGGGGGCAGAGCCCTGCATTATTCATCCCGGTTTCAAATGGCATGGCAGCGTCTCACACTTTGTCCCCTCAGCATGGGGTGTCGGCTGCAGCCCCCCGCTCAAATGTCCCCACCAGGCCCTACGACCTGTGAGGGGCCGGGGGGGGGGGGGGGGCGGGAGGGTCCTTAGGATGGTCGAAATCTGCTGAGTATCAAAGAGGGAAACTAAAACTCTAATTGGAGAAAGTTTTCCCATCCTTGATATATGGTCCATCAAGGTTTCCGTAGAAACCTGAAGGCCGATGATTGGAATTAAACCAAAAGTCGTTTGGCTTTCACCGTGAGCCTGGGATTCAGAAGCATGGAAAAACGGGAAGCGGGCCGCCGGTGCTGAAGAGAAGTCAAAGTGTGGGACGCTGTGTTACTGTAGCCATCACTGTGGCACATCTGTGTCACACAGATGTGTTCATGTGTTCACGCCGACTGAAGAAGTGAGAAGTGTCGTGGAGTTTGCGTGCGTCTTACGTTCCGCCGGCACAGCAGTCTGACAAAAGCTTTCCCTCTTCAGCTGTGATCGCTCCTCCTGTTTTTGTTTTTAGGATAGCTTAAAATGCAAACTGAAACTGAAGCTCTTCAGATTTAAAAAGACCTAGGGTGTAACCCATTAGCCAAAAAATGGCCGCCCATCTCTTTCTCTAATCTCTTTTCCCTCTCCGGCCCATGATGAAGGAATAAGTCATCTGTAACAGCGTGGGCTGTTACAGGTGAACATGATCTAAACCTAATATTGTGCTTCAGAGACCATGTTCAGTATTGTTTCATCATAGGAGGTACACAGAAAACGTGTTTTAATGGCGGAATTATTTACCATCATGGGTAGTTATTTAAAAAGGAAAACATCCACTTAATCCACTAAAATAAATAAGCGCGACTGGATAAATACATTAAAGAAATGAGGCTAGAATATACCACATTTAAAGATTTGGACCTGGTTGTCATAATGATCACATGAACAGGAGGACGTCAAGCAAAGCTGAAGCTAAAAGTGAGCATGCGACTGTTTTAAGGTGGATTTAAAGTGGAAGAACTTTCCCTAGAAAGTTGCCGGAATATTCAGCAGCATGCAGCAGTGAATGGGATTCGCAGGAATCTGCTTTTCGATCGTCAGAATGACGTGGTTCTACGTGACATTTCACGCTCCAGTGGTCGTTTCCCGGGAATTCCCAAGGAAGTAAACGGAAAAAAACACCTTCTGCCTGTGTACTGAAACCGTTCTGGATAGTGGCAGATCAGAGGGAGTGAGGAAAGCGAATCCATTCCCGCAGTGGGGGGGGGGGTAATTCCTGGGAAACAGTCACAGCTGCATGTGCTGACTGTGGTCAGTCAGGATCTGTGGTAACAAGCCCTCACACAGCAGCAGCAGCCTCCCACTGTCTGCCAACATTTTTTTCTGTAACCTGTTGTAAATTCTGCTGTTGTAACCATGTTATGACCCCCCCCCCC